GGGTCGTGTTTGGCATTGGTTTATGACTCGTTATCGAGTCTCATTGTACTTATTTGCATGTTTTAGGGCGTGACGGTGGTTCACGACGTTCTTTTGACGGAAGTGCATGAAACACCATTTGCAAGCTTGGTGAGTGTACTACTCACTTGTGTGTTACTATATAGCTTTGATACTTGAACTTGATGAGTTGATGTTAATTGATTTAAGTGAGAGCGTACTTTATCACTCTCACTTATTGTTTATCATGTTATTGGAATGTTATATGAAATGTTACATGAAATGAAAGTACTTGACTTGGTGTCGATTGGACGAATATCCAACGACTACAATTGTTATCATTGAGCTCAACCCCATTGGTAGTTGATTGAATCGAGCCGGCGAGGGCTTGGTCGTGCCAATTAATGATCCTTGGGGAAATGTTATATTGAATCTTGTAGTATGAGAGACTCTCGATTCCGGTATATTCAAGTAATACCACAGTGCAAGTGTTTGGAGTTCGGGCCCGGTAGGGGGATGTTAGGTGGAAGGAATGGAAGTAAAGTGAAGTCTACGGTTGGTTACTTGTAAACATTGACGGAGAGTCAATGAGATCCGATCAAGAATGCAAACGAGGAAAAGGGCTCTTGAGAGCCGCCCGTATCCTTTTATCACCACCATTAATGTGTGCCTTTGTTTACTTTTGATGTATTAAAATGAAAAGCTTGATACTTATATGAACTTGGTTGCTTGAGTAGTATTATCTCACTGGGAAATTAGCTCACTCTATTCCTTTTGTTTTCCTTACAGGAAAATAAATACTTTTGGACTGCAATTGATAATTGGTTGCCGAAATGAGCTAGTTGGACATATCTTTTGTATAGCTCATTTATTGAAACCCTAAATGTACTTTTGGGACCGTTTCTCTTTTGATTTGGCAAATCGTGTATATATCCAATTTTGAATACTTTTGTATGCCACTTTGGCTTGTAAATGCTAAATTTCAAGATGTGAATGTTTGCTTGTTATTTGGTTGGGTTCTGACGGATCGGTTACTATTCATGGCCGACTCCGGATTTCATTTCTTTTATTTTTTTTTATTTTGACATTTTGACTTGTTTACGCTCGTTTGTAAGTTCCGGAACGCAATAGATCGCTCTAAACTGCACCGTTAGTCCTGGCGAGAGTTGGGCAGGCAGTCCGCTAACCCCTTTGGTTCGCCTTAGGGGAAGGCGGGGCTGTCACAGTGGGGGCTGAGTGCCAGAGATGACATGTAGTTCGCCAGGAGAAAGGGCGCTCTCAACCTCCCGCAAGCGCCAACCCCTATTCACCCAGCACTCTTTGATTAGCAGTTCGGGGCTCGGGATATCGTGTTTTCCAGATGCCAGGGGACCGTGGCCCAGCTAGTTGTGAAACCAGAAAGAGCTACCTCCCGTGCCAACCAAAGTTCGGGAATGCTCTTCAACAAATTGCCGGGTGTTACACAATCGCCGCCATGTTTTGGAGCTGGCTTTTGTCGCCCGTGCTTGTGTAATATGGCTTCACTGTTGCTCGTACTTTGCAATCATGAATCGTGACCATAAAGTTGAGGTGGATCTCAATCTCCACCAGAGCTTGCAGCCAAAGGCTCTTACCACATCTTCCAAGCTGGTGAACCCCAGACCATCCTCCTCAATTGGGTGACACAGTCGTTTCCATGCCCTCCAGTGCCTTTTATCTCTACCATTGGACTCACCCCAGAAAAATTTAGCCATAACTCTCTCCATGTCCTGCAGGACAGTCTTTGGGGGCTCCATGACTGCCATGGTGTATTGAGGGATAGCGGACAACACATGTTTGATGAGGATTGCTCAACCCCTAGCAGATAGCAGCTTATTTTTCCATCCGGTGAGCTTCAATTGTATTTTGTCTATCAGGTGTTGAAAATGTCCCCTCTTTGGTCGTCCTTTCAAGAGCATGCAGCCAAGGTATTGGAGAGGCAAATGGCGGCGGCTCATCCCAAGCCAACGAGACAGCAGTTGCGACCTAGCTACTGAGCAGCGTGAGGAGACTATGAAGAAGCTCTTTTTCTTGTTGACCCGTTGGCCGGAGCCCTGCTGATAGAGGTCGAGGAAGTTGAGTAAGGCAGTGATGTCCGCGCGTTGTCCCTGCATGAAGATCACTACATCATCCGCAAAGCTTAGATGAGAGACTGGAATGCAGCCCCTCGGCAAGGCATAAGGGGAGAGCTGCGCCGCAGACACTAGCCCATTTAGCCCGCGACTCAATGCTTCAGAAACCAGTAAGAACAAGAGGGGCGAGAGAGGATCGCCTTGCTTTAGTCCCCAGCCACCTTGGAAGAATCCGTACGGATGACCATTTATTAGGATCGAAAACCAAGCTCCGCTCAGGTTGTTCATTACTAGGGTGGTAAACCAGTGGGAGAACCCAAACTTACGTAGGAACTTGGAAAGGAATTGCCAAGATACACTATCGAAAGCTTTCATCATGTCCATCTTCAGGATCATGTTGTGTGCCCATGGGCCTTCTTGTCAATCGATTCCAATAGTTCTTGGGCTAGCAGGATGTTGTCTGCAATTTCTAGCCCTTTGACAAAAGCTGACTGCTCCTGGGATATCAAGGTTGGTAGGATCAATTGCATTCTGTTGCTCAGGATTTTCGTGAACACTTTGTTTAGGAAGGTGCATAGGCTGATGGGACGAAAGTCGGCAAATGTTGAAGGGCACTCCTTTTTTGGGATGAGCACAATTAAAGTGCTTGCGACACTCTTCGGAAGAGTTCACATGCTACCAAAATACTACTATAGACACCTAAGCTTACTGCAAACTCAAGTCACAAGCGAAGCAATCAGCACTCAAAATAAATGAAATAAAGAAACTTTACAACCAAACAAATTTCAATAACTGATATAATACATCTGCACACCACACGAGAAACCACCTCTAGTAATAATGATGACAATGACAAACAACAAGAAGTTGGTCATACATGTGAACTAAAAGAAGCGCAAAAATCATAAAAACACTTCAAACCTCTTGAACTGACAAACGGCTATAAAAGCATGATATTTTTGCCAATTATTGAGGAGAGCAAATAATTTGTAAGTTGTAAGGATCGAAGGCAACCTAAGAGGGGGGTGAATTAGGTAGTTTAAAAACTGGCCAAATTGTGAGTCACTTTTTGAGTACTTGCCTTCTTTTTCTAAAAGACCACACAATGGAGCAAATGACGAGAAAGCACAAGTGCTTGTGAGTAGAAGAGATGAGCAATTTATATATCAAGACAGTAAGTAAAAGAGATAGAGTATCAAACCAAATATCAAACTCCTCATGAGTTTGAATATATCACTTTATAGAGCAAGCTTCTTCAAGATGATCAACTTACAACCAATCTTTTGTGTACAAAGGAAGGATCACTTCCTTCTTGCCCCAAACCACACTTGGTCAAGCAAAAAAGTTTTACTATCACTCGGATAACCCTCACAAATCTAAACTATTGAAGTAATTGAATCACACTTCGAAAAACTTATCGAAAATTACACAACTAAGAGTACAAATCTTCTTTGAAGAGTATTTTCCTACTAAAATCACTCTTGATCTGATGTAGTCTCAATGTACAAAGTTATTTTGAAGTGGTTGACTTCGTTATATTTATATGGGACCAAAAAATTTCTCAATTAATGCTTCCAACGGATAGAGGGCAGCTGAAGAGTCAACTAGTCGTTGGTAGTGTCGGACGTCTGGTAGACCAGTTTCTTGCGTCTGAACGTAGGCAGTGAGCTCAAGAAATTTTCTTGAATTATTTTGGACGTCCGGTACCTTCAATGTATGCGTCCGAAAGTAGGAGGTGAAACTGAGAATTCTTCTTCAATTCTTTTAGGACGTCCGGTGTCTCCAAGGTTTTGCGTCCGAAGTGTTGCAACGCTTGTCGGACGTCCGGTGCTCTGATGATGTGCATCCGATCGAGGTCAGTGAGCTTAGAGGGAATGACTCAATATCTTCGGACATTTGAGGGTGAAGTTCTTCCTGCGTCCGAAGTTGCGCAAAGATTGTCGGACGTCCAATCCAGTCTTCTTGTGCGTCCGACAGCAGCTTCAGCATCCTTTGTGCTTAATTTTTGAACCTGTTTTGCTACATTTCTGAAAGGATCTATTTAGAGAACATTAGTGACATTCATTTGTTTTGTAATCATCAAAAGTACAGACTAAGATAAACAATCTCCCCCTTTTTTATGATGACAAAACAATGGATTGAGAAAAATAATTGGGGCACAACTCCCCCTTACTTGATGCATCCATGGAGTGAATACTAATAATGTCCTCTCACATATAGATTACTGGACACTCTACTTGAGTGGACACTCTCCCTTAGAATGACTCCCTCTCACGTATCCATTTCTCCCCCTTTTTGTCATCATTGAATCAACCAGAATCCATATCATTAATATTTTCAGCAATATTAGAAGCCAAAAACTACCAACAATTATCAGCAATACTATCAACACTTATCAGCAAAAACCTCTAATGATTCGGCCATGAACTAAGGCTTGAAGAGACACTTATCAGCTTAGCTTCAGCCATGAACTAAGGCTTGAAATGACTCTTTGAACCTCTAATGATGCGAATGAGCATGCTGGCCGTGGTATTCACATAGGTCCATGACACGTGCACAAGTTAAGAGGTTCAAATAGTCACTTCAAGCCTTAGTTCATGCCGTATAAGCTCAAGAGAAACCAAGCTCAAGCATTGAAGGAATTGACTTGGAGGATCCTTGCAAGACTACCAAGATATTGCTTACAATTGAAGGTGCAAGTGATCAAGCCTCAAAGGGAGGATTGGGCCTCGATTAAGTAGTTCTTGTTGAGCTTAGCTTCGGCCATGAGCTAAGGCTTGAAGTGACTCTTTGAACCTCTTAACTTGTGCACGTGTCACGGACCTATGTAAATACCACGGCCAGCTTGCTCATTCGCATCAAGCCTATTATGAACTATCATCCTAGTCATGAAGTGCATTAATCTAGAAGTGACTAAATAGTAATCTTGGACGATCCAGATCTCCTCCTTGTTAGGCGAAACTGATCAGGATCCACTTCTTCCTCTTCAGTGTCCTCATCATCATCCTCTTCAGTTTCTTCTTCAGTTGCTGGAGCCTTTCCATTGTCCAGTGGCTGAGAACTGGAGGCACGGTAGTAGTTGGCTCAGTTCTAGGCTCTTTTTGGTGTGCATTCTCATTGTCTTGAGGAATGGGAGGCACAAGCAGATTCCTTTTATAAATGAAGGTGGCTTGTTATTCGGATGACATGGTCATCATTAGACCATCTTCAAGAAGTAAGATGTGTTGTTTAAGGTCCTCAAGTAAAGAAATAACCTCAGAGTTGGATGAAGAGAACTTAATGGCTGACTTTCTAGGATGGATAGTAAAGGGTGAGACAAACATGGACTGATCTCGAGGAGTTCTAAGGGTAACAAGAGTTTCATGAAAATTCTTTCTTCTAGACTCCGAAACAGTTTCTTTGTAGCACCAATGACCCTAAAAAAATTTTAGATTTTTTCTTTGAAAATAAGCCTTGCAGAAAACAGTTGATGCACTTTTTTTTGGTGATTTTCAAGTAAAGGAAATTTCAAGATGAGCAAAGATAGGAGTCAGAAATTTTTCATAGGAAAGTTTTCTATGGCTATCAGTGCTGATTTTGAGCAAGAATTTGCACATAACAAAGTCAAAATCAATTCTGATTTTTTCAAGAAAGCAATAAAACAGGTAAATCTCCATTTTATTGGCATCAGTCCTATGACCATCAGTAGGGACCAACAGATTCAAAATTATGGAGAAGATCAAGTTTTGAGGACTGAGATCCTCCAATCTTGCCTCAGCAGGAGTATTAAAATGAGTTTGAAAATAAGTCATCAATTTAGTAACATGAAAATGATGATATGCAGAAGGAAATTCTTCATATGAAAAGAAGTTTGCAATTTTTCCTTTAAAATCATCTTCAATTTTGGTTTCCAAAACAGTGTTGACAATGTCAGGATTCAATTCTATGTTAACAGAATTGACACGTGAAACTAGATCAGTGTGTGATCTACCCTTCCTAAGGTTGGCAAAGAATTGATGAAGCATGTCAGGATAGTATGTGTTTGGAATGGTCAGAAGATGAGTCCATTTTTGAAATTCAAAAAACTTAAGAACTGGTTCAAGGTCAAGCTTACAGAATTCGTAAGGAATGATAGTCCTCTAAGTAATAAAACCTTTCTACGAGATCCTTTCAAACCTCTTCTGCCATCATCATCAATGAACTTGGGTAAGGGGACAGGTTCCTCTGCAGTTTGAGCCTCAGGTTGTTCTTTGGCAGAACGCTTTCTCTTTCCACTGCGTTGATCGGTTGGCACTGTATTCTGGACACCAGACCTTATCCTTGGTGTCTTCCTGGTGGAAGGTTCAGCAGTTTGCTATTCACTAGCATTTTTCTCTACAGCCTGCTGTTTCTCACTTTGCTCAACAGAAGGATCAGCAGTTTGCCTTTCCTTAGCTAGAGCAATCCCCTTCCTTTTAGCAGACCTTTTTCCCTTTTACTATGAGATTCTGTCACATTTGTGAGTGATTTCGTGACGGATGCACCCGCATTGGTGGGGTGCTCCAGTTCTTCTTCACTATCACTGACTGGATGCTCTTCAGTGTGATGCTCCTCTATCTGCTCAACAGATGGCTCACCAGTTTGAACATTCTGTTTCTTCTTTGCAGACTGTTTCGTCTTTCCACAACGAGTTCCAGTTCTCTTTCTGGATTGATTTGGTGGAAGATTCGATGACCTGAACGTTTTCATCCTCTTCATCTCTAAGCCTGAAGGTGCGTTCGGCACTGACAGACTCTCCTCTAGTTTTCACCATGATGCAATGCAAGATGATGTTGTTGCAGAGTATGATGCGAGTGGGTAATGAAATGAGCTATGGGTACAGATGAACTACAATGACTGCTTGAATCGACCACTGATAGTGAAAATTGAGTGGTTAGGATTTCGGGTGAGAATTGAGATTTATGGTGCAGTTGACAGTTGGGAGAAGTTATGAGGAGCAATAAACACGCAATAGAAATGTAACGGTGTTGGACAGATCAATTTCTTGGAACTTGTTCCAAAGAGAGATGAATTTGAATTTTGAAAGTGAGAGAATATGAAGAGTTGCGTCCAAGACAGAAGGTAAAAATGAACTGAATGAAGCAGAGGACTTCCTTATAAGACGTAATTTTTGAGTGTCGGACGGTCGAACTGTGACGCCCCCACTTCTCCCAAGGGTGAATCGAAGGGTATCCGCGGAACGCCTCTTCAGCTCTCGCCAGGACTCGGTACAAATTCAATTTAAACTTAAGAATAACTAATCGATACTAAAAGTCGAAGATAAAAAAAAAAAAGGTCAATTCCTTAATAATCGTTCAAGTCTTACATCATGAGTTACCAAAAATATCTTAAATTCTCAAAATATACAGTTTTCAAAAGTTGTCTAAACAAATACATTCAAAATTCTAATAAAAAGGCTATCAAGTCGATATCTCCATAATTCCTTCCATTTCAGGTCCTGTTAAAGAAAACAAATCTAATGGGGTACCTCCTACCCGAATCAGTGTGGTACATACTATTGCCCAGTAGTCGATGAGACATCGCTCCAATTGACATAGCAAGGTTTATGGTTCTGAGACGACATGAGATGTACCTCCCACCCGAATCGGTATGGTACATGCTATCGCTCAGAGAACCGATCATTTATTTAGGGTTTTGAGCCGACATGAGAGGTACCTCCCACCCGAATTGGTGTGGTACATGCTATCACTCAGAGATCCGATTATACGATTATAATTATAAGGGTTAATGACATTCAATCCAATCGATAAATACCTTTATAGGCCAATGAGTGCACTCCAATCGGCAGTCATAGAGTTCAATTACGAGTCGAGCAGATTCACTCTAACGACATATGTAGCCAAAGTATATAATTCAATTCAATTAGGCAATTTAATTACAATTCATTTAAATGAGAACGTGTTAGATAAGGTAAACACTCGACTCAGCAGTTATAAACCATCCATTTCATAATGAGCAATTCACATAATTTTCAAATATTCATACACTTGGCACTCACCTAGGCAAAATAAGAGAGTGTGGTGCACAATTCAAGTGTTTAAGCGTCCGTTGTGAGGTCCTCTTGAAGGTCTCCTTGAGTGCTTGAGTAAATAATAATTAACTATCATACACAATCTCTTAAAAACCCCTGGTTATCAAGGTAGATTGTACATGTGTACATCCTAAGAAAATATCATGAAAATAAGACTTAATTATTCATAAATCGAGACTCAAAAGTGGGGTTTAATAATACAAAAAAAAACTGATTTTCATCTTTGAAATCAAGTGTAAAACGGTCAAGAAATATCGAAGGAAAATGAAGAGTTTCTAAAAACTTAATTCCCTTTAAGTTCAGAAATTCTAGATTTGAGGTATAATTTTTGAAAAATCATATCTCACTCTCCGTAGATCCAAAATTAGAAAACTTTGTACTGTTAAAAACTAATTCCAAAGTACTAAAAGTTCCTAGAAGACACTTTTCCATGATTCTAAATAGAAGACACTCAAATTTTGGTTTAAAGCTACTAATTTGAACTCCCAAGACAGATTTGGGGTTGGTTTTTGGCAAATTTTGAAAATTCGGTAAAATTTACAGAATATGAACTAGCCTCTGAAATTTGGAATTCAATTAGAGTTACAATAAAGTTTAAAACACAATAAACAGAACAAGAATCGGAGTTTTGAGCGCCAAGATATAGCAGCTTAAAGTTGCTGAAAATTTCTCATTGAACAAGGATTTTTCAGATTTGAAACATGAATTTTGAGACTTTGGTTGGGCATCGAAATGCATTTGGAATGGCACCAAATTTGGTAGTATTTTACTACCTATAAGAGCTATTCCTCTGTCAAATTTCATGCAAAAATTCGTACGGAAGGTCAGTTAACAAAGCCACTAAAATTCCAAGAATTTCCAAGGCAAATCTGCCTTGTACTTCCATTTTTCTTTTTCTAACCTTTGGCCAATGAAATCATTTCAAATCTGGTCCATTTATAAAGGAAAGGTCTAAGAAACATCCAATACACATTTGGTGATTGACAACAAAAGATTCAAAATATCAAGTCCCATTTTGAGCTAAGCCATTCGGCTAGCCAATATGAGGGTTGGAAACTACATTCATAATGCTACAATTTCTTAGAAGAAATGGTTTTGAAATTATGTCCATAGCTAGCTCAAATTCAAGCAACAAGTTCCAGCACCTCACTGCTTCTCTAGCACAGTCGTGAAACAGGATAGGTAACTTTGAAGAGTTGGTATGGTTCACTCAGGTCGAATCAGAGGGTGAATTTTATATTGTTAGAAAACTAGAAATGTCTAGTTTCTAATGCCATAAACGGCACTCGATTTTGACATCGGAACAAAGAGTTATGGTCATTTAAAATTCGCTGCCAGAGTAACTCTGGACATGTTTTCCAGCCATGAAGAAATTTCGAAATCCAAACATTTACCCAACCAAATCAAGTGATTTTTGGTAGAAACTTTTCACACAGCCTATACAACATATCTATATCAAAATCAAGGCCATTTAACCACAAAAAAAATGGCACCAAAGGTTTAACAAGAACAGGGCAGATTCGACCCTTCTTCATGCATCACTTTCTTTGATTTTCTTTTCACTTTTTCCACTTATCTCTACTAGATTAACACTTAATCAACACAAATAACATCCAAACTCATCAAATCAAATCATCAAATCCATTGTGGGATTTCATAGAACCCACTCACATGATTTTCAACAATCCAAAGCTACCCACATGAAGTTACAAGCTTCTAAGTGTAATCTAACTTACAAAAGCTAAGATTCAAGGGTTAGATGATTAGGTACCTCCTTAGATGATGAACTCAAAAATTTTCTGTCCTTTGAGCTCCAAGAAAACCGTGAGAATGAAACTCTTCTCCTAACCCAAGATGATCTCCAAGTTATTTGGAAGGTGTGGTAGGAATTTGAGATGATTTGGTGCAAGATTGAGTGAGATGAGATGAAGAAATTTTTGCTCCTTCTTCCTTGGTGTTGCACAACTGCTTAGAGAGAGAAAGGGGAGAGTTGTGGTTGATGGAAAAGCTTCTAGAGTAAGCTTGGCAGTTGGCTCTAAGGTGCACAAAAGTCAACTCTCCAATAGTGTGCGTACGCGCGCGTTTCGTGTCCGTTTCCTCTCGGGTTTGTTTCACTTGTGCACTAAACCTCTAATGCACTTCCATTAACATTATTATTATTCACTCTTAATAGTCTAAAATAAATGTTCAAAGTCCTTCAATTAATCACGCGCGCGCGAAAATGCGTACTTTCGATTTGTGCGCGATAGAGTGAAATTTCAAAGAAATATTTGTAACGATGATATAACTAACTAATACTAGGGTATATAATCATGAAAATAACTATTTTAGAAATAAAAACATGATTTCTCACATGAGTCTAGTATTAATTTCTCAAATCTCCAATTAATTGGTACCAGCGCGTCTTTCGAAAAACTTTCGACGCGCGCACGGTATAAAGTTAATTTTAACTTACTCACATCTAATCTCTCAATTAAGTTTTCTTAATCTACTATTGATCATTCTTAATTCTCCAAAACTAATGTACTCTCGGATCGAACATAGTTTCGAAAAATGTGTACTCCTTATTTTTCACTAAACGAGCCCTAGAAAAAATTAATTTTACTAACGAGACGTGTTAAAAATATAATTAAGACATTATTTCATGTAAATAAGTTTAAAATGATTGAAATAAATTATTCGGAGAAAATGGGTGAGTAAATAATTAATTAAACCAGTAAAATAAAATAAAATGAGAAAAATTCGGGTCCTCACACGAACGAAGTAAAGCGTCCGACACAACCGTCCGAACCAGAACTTTCTGAAAAGATGATCAAGAACACTGTCGGACGTCCGTTCTGACACATCGGACGTCCGATAAAGAGTGACCAGAGAATTTTTAGAATATTTTTTCAGAAACGCCCAATTTTGTTCTCAAAGACACAAATTGATCCAGTGGTAAGGCTTTTGTGAGAATATCAGTAATTTGATCTTTTGAGCAGACATATTAAACACAAATTTCACCTTTATGGACAAGATCGCGAATGAAATGATACTTTATGTCTATGCGCTTTGTCCTAGAATGTTGAATGTGATATTTTGTCAAGTTTATGGCACTAGTGTTATCACAATACATAGACACACAATCATACATTAATCCAAAATCATTCAATGTATTTTTCATCCACAATAATTGAGCACAACAAGCTCCGGCGGCAACATATTTCGCTTCGGTTATAGACAATGAAATAACATTTTGTTTCTTGCTAAACCAAGATACTAGGCAATTTTCAAGAAAGTTACATATACCTATTGTACTCTTTCTATCTATCCTACAACCACCAAAATCAGCATCCGCGAATCCATATAAAGGAAATTCATGACACTTAAGCTATCATAGGCCAAAATTCAAGGTTCCTTTTAAATATCTAAGAATTCTTTTTACTTTATTCAAGTGAGATTCCTTTGGACAAGACTGAAAACGAGCACACAAACATACAACAAATATGATATCAGGTCTACTAGCAGTTAAGTAAAGTAAACTACCAATCATACCTCTATACTTCTTTTCATCAACTTTTGCACCTTCTTCATCCTTGTCCAACTTGGTAGATATGCACATAGGTGTTCCAACTTGTTTTGAATCTTCCATTCCAAACTTTTTGAGCAGGTCCTTGGTGTATTTTGCTTGATTAATGAACGTTCCTTCTCGGGTTTGAACCATTTGGAGTCCAAGGAAGAAATTTAATTCTCCCATCATACTTATCTCAAACTCTTTTTGCATAATTGTGGAAAAATCCTTGCACAGGCTCTCATAAGTAGCACCAAATATGATATCATCCACATATATTTGTACAATTAAAAGATCACGTGAACTTTATTTAGTGAAAAGAGTAGTATCTACAATGTCTCTTTTAAAACTATTTTCAATCAAGAAACCACTTAAGCGTTCATACCCTGCTTTTGGAGCTTGTTTTAATCCATACAAACCTTTTGAGAGTTTAAACACATGATTAGGATAAATCTCATTTTCAAAATCAAGAGGTTGATCAACATATATTTCTTGATCAATAAAGTCATTTAAGAAAGCACTTTTAACATTCATTTGAAATAATTTAAAATTCTTGAAACATGCAAATGCCAAAAACATCCTAATTGATTCTAGCCTAGCTACGGGTGCAAATGTTTCATCAAAAATCTATTCCTTCTTTTTGAGCATATCCTTTAATTACAAGTCTGGCCTTATTCCTTACTACCTCACCTTGGTCATTCATTTTGTTTCTAAAAATCCATTTTGTGCCAATGATAGGATGATCTTGAGGTCTTTCAACTAATGTCCAAACCCTGTTCCTTTGAAATTGATTTAGCTCCTATTCCATAACTAAAATCCAGTTCTCATCTTTCAAGGCATCAACAACATTTTTGAGTTCAAAGTGTGAGACTAATGCAAAATTATCCATCAATTGTTTAGAGGAGGAACGAGTTCTGACCTTCTCGGATGGATCACCAATGATGAGCTCTTTAGGATGGTTTTGAACAAATTTCCAGACTTTTGGAAGATCGTTAGGTGTACTAACATCTTTGTCATTGTCTTCCTGTGCTGAACTGTCTTGAGAATCATCTTCTTTTGAGTCATTTTCTGGTGAAGCAGTGTCTTGATCATTGATTGTGAGCTTTTTTAGTCCTTCTTGAACACCTGCATCATCATCTTCATCACAACTTTTGAAAATATTACCATTAGATTCATCAAAAGTAATATATATAGCTTCCTCTATAACCAGAGTCCTTCGATTATAAACTCTAAAACCTCTCTTATTCTCACAATACCTCAAAAAATTTCTTTTATCAGATTTTTTATCAAACTTACCAAGATGTTCCTTGATGTTTAAAATGAAACATTTGCAACCAAAAACTTTGAAGTATCCAACAACAGGTTTTTTATCAAACATCAACTCATTAAAGGTTTTATTCAAGATTGATCTTAAAAGAATTCTATTTATAGTATAGCAAGCTGTATTTATGGCTTCACCCCAAAAATATTTTGGCACATTGCACTCACTTAACATGGTTCTAGCAGCCTCTTGAAGTGTTTTATTCTTTCTTTCAACAACCCCATTTTGTTGGGGAACTCTTGCAATTGAAAATTCATGAGTGATTCCATTGTTATCACAAAATTGTGGAAAGCCACAAAAACGAAATTCTGAGCCATTGTCACTTCTGATCTTGATGATTTTCAATCCAATCAGATTTTGAACATTTGCAAATAATGAAACAAGTTTTTGAAAGCATTATCTTTGTGTGCAAGAAACATCATCCAAGTGTATCTAGAATAATCATCAACAACAACAAGGTAATATCTTTTGCCACCTAAACTAGTAGTTTGTGTAGGACCAAATAGATCAAGATATAAAAGTTTCAAAGGTTTTGTGGTAGAAACACATTTCTTGGGTTTAAAAGAAACTTTGACTTGTTTTTCAAATTGACAAGCATCACAGATTTTATTCTTTTCAAATTTGATTTTTGGCAACCCTCTAACAAATTTCTTTTTGAAAATCTCTTTTAGCAAATCCATGTTGAAATGACAAAGTCTTCTATGCCACAACCAAGGGTCTTCATTTGCAACTTTAAGGCATTTAAGACTATAAGAATCAATATTTTCCAGAATAACTACATAAATGTCATTAATTCTTTTTCCTTTGAAGATAGTGTTGAACTTTGAGTCAATAACAAGACATTTATACTTTTTAAATAACACAAACATATTTTTATCACACAATTGACTAACACTTAACAAGTTATAGCTCAGATTGTCAACTAAAAGAACATTGTGAACAAAGGTTTGACCATTCTTACCAATATCACCAATTTCAATATTTTGGCTTTGTTATCGTCTCCAAAAGTTACTTTTTCGCTTGCTTTTGGCTTGAGCTTGATGAATTGTGATGGATCACCAGTCATATGCCTTGAGCATCCACTATCTATGAATCATTTTGATTCCTTGATAATATTCACCAAGTTCACCTACACAAAAGTTCACAAGATAATATTTGGTACCCTTTACTTTTTGGATTCTTGAGAGTTAGCATTATGCCTAACTATCCACATGCATTTCATACCATTTCTCATATTCTTCCTCACATAATAATTACTCTTCATGTGACCAATTTGACAACAAAAGTTGCACATAGTTAGTGAGTTGTTCGTATGGACAGGTTTAACAAATGTGATTTGCCTTCTCTTATAAATGGTAAATTCGTTTGCACTAGAGTTCAACATTTTCTCATGAATGTCAAAATGAGGTTTTGTATCATTTCTTTGAAAGCAATTTTGTTTCTTATGTTGAAGCAACTGATTAAGATAATCTATTCTTCTTTTCAAACTCCCTTGTTCATTTTTGAGCATGTCACAGAAGTTTATTTTTCTATCGAGTTCAGCATGTAAATAATTTTCAATCCTTTTCAGATTTTCATTTTCATTTTTCAGATTCTTGTTTTGTCGAAAAAGGTTTGCATTGTCTTGAATCAGAAAATTGATCTTTTGTTTTAGTTCCTTGTTTCTAACATAGGATTCTTTCAAGTTATTATGCATTCTTTCCATAAAAGAATTAACATCATTATCAGATTCATCATCACTGTCAGTTTGAGAGTTACAAGCAGTTACCTCTTCATCACCAATAGACATGAAAGCCATTTGGACAGATTCCTCTTCTTTTTCGACTTCACCTTCTGAGTTGCAGTCATTCCAAGTGATCTGGAAGTTGTTAAACTTTGATTTTCGTTCAATTTTTCCTTCTTTCTTTTTCATCATTGGACACTCGCTCGCATAGTGTCCAGGTTGGCCGCACTCGAAGCATTTGTCAGTTTGCTTCTTATTGAACTCTTGCTTCCCTTTGTTTCTTGAGTTGTTGAATTGATTTGGAGATGAATTGCTAGGTCCTCCTTTTTTGAATCTTCTCTTGAAATTTCTTGTGATGAGTGCAATATCACTGTCATCAATTTTCACATCATCTCTATCCAAGGAAGCTGAGTCATCTTCATCATGCGAGGCTTTTAGAGCAATGCTCTTTCTCACCTTTGCATCTTCTTCCTCCTGTATCTTGGACTTGAGTTTCACCTCATAAGAAGTTAGAGAATTAACAAGTGATTCAATAGGGATGGAATTTAGATCTCTAACTTCTTCAATGGCAGTCACTTTACTCTCCCAATCTTTGGATAAAATATTCAGAATTTTCCTATTTTTCTCGCCTAGAGAATACTCCTTTTCTAACACTTCTAAATCCTTAATGAGATCATTGAATCTACAATACATCTTATCAATGTTTTCATGAGTTTCCATCTTAAAAGATTCATACTTAGTGACCAGAATAGACTTCTTTTGTTCTCTTACATTCTCACTCCCTTCATGGATTTCTCTAAATTTATCCCAAATCTCTTTTGCAGATCTACACCCTTTGACTCTAATAGACTCATTTGAATCTAGAGTACTGTATAACACACATTCATTGCCTTGGCTTTCAAAGTGAGGTGGGTTCTATCGTCACCAATCAACTCATTTCTGATTTTTGGTCTTGGTCTATGAGTGACTTCATCAACAATAGAGGCATCATATGGACCTTCATTGACAATAAATCACAATTTGATATCAATAGATTGTAAGAAAATAATCATCCTTTCCTTCCAACTCACATAATTTGATCCATTGAACATTGGGGGTCTAGTGACGGATTGTCCTTCAAAAAACATGGCATGGTTGGTTGTCATTTTTACTCCAAAGCCGATTGAGTTTAATCTCTAGGAGACCAAGTTCTGATACCAATTGTAAAGATCGAAAATAACCTAAGAGGGGGTGAATTAGATAGTTTAAAAACTGGCCAAATTGTGAGTCACTTTTTGAGTACTTGCCCTTGTCGCGCCCCACTTTTTGAAGTGTTGTGAAAGTAGTGTGTATGTGAACGTGTGTGAAAATAAAAGGCCGTGGGACTTGAAAATGCGACGGTTTGGCCAAACAAAGTTCAAAAAGGGTTTTGAATGGAAAATGGAGTCGCCACTTGGTACAGAGTTAGGGTGTACCAAGTCACCCAAAAAGTGATTTTTTGGAAAGAAAAGTAAACAAAACCCTTTTTAAAGAACTTTTAGGTCTACGTAACCAAAGAAAGGGATCGGGGGTCACGTTTGATAAGGGAGAAGGCAAAGGCAAAACCTAAGGCACTCCCTTACCCTAGCCAAAACTAGTTGCGTGACTTAGCCCTTCTTTTCCCAATTTTTCTATCCAAAATGTGCGTTGCATGTTGGATATGACTAATGGATATGAAAAAGAAATGCAATCCTAAATCTAAAATGTCTCTTACGAGGCCTTTTGGTCCCAACCACATGAGTTGTGGTGGCCAATAAGGAAAGTCCTCATAGAGGTCGCGAATGATGCAAATGAAGACTCAAATATGAGTGCAAGTGTGAAAATGTAAGAAAACGTGCATGTGTGCGAATGTAAGACAAGTGCATGTGTGCAAATTGGGAGAATAAAGGTGTTTGTGTGCAAATGGATGAAAATATGATAGTAGATACATATAAGTGCAATTGGGTGCAATTTGTGAGGTAGAAAATAAATGATAAAAGAAGAAAAAAGTGCAAACAGGGCATGTGGATTGAGAAAAATATAAGTTGCGAAAAAATGTAGATAAAAGAGTGAGGAAGTGGTATGATAAGAATGAGAGTGCATGAACCTAGAGGAATGCATCAAGTCGGGTACGGGAATGACTCCTAATTTCACGACTTCGATTTTCCCTTTGATTAGAAGAAAGAACTAGCGTGCTAAGGCTATTTTGTAGCCACACTCGCTTGTTTCCCTTATCGAAAGGGGACTCTCAAGCAAATGTACCCTATAACTAGCATGAGAATGCAAAACCTAAAATGAAGGGGAAATGATTGGAGGAGCATGCCAAATGCTAGAAAACTAAGAAAAATGCATGAAATGTAGTGAAACATGCAACTATGAACTAGCGAGGGAAATCCCTAAGGGTCTAGCGTTGGACTAGCCCATATCTATGAATTCCTACTCCGTTGGACTAGTGGAAAACGGGACCATGAGCCACAACTAGCGTTGGACTAGTGTGGTGTCGTGCATTCATCCATCACATTCATCTATGACTATAGAAAGCAAGTAGACATGCCAATCACCTATAAGCACGTAGCACATAACACTTAGCATGCTCGACTAAATGCAAGAGCCTAATAAAGCAAATTAACACGTAGCAACAAAAGCAAGCAATCAATCTAATGAACGTATTACATTGGCTAACTAAAACAAAAAGGGAAGGGGAAAAATGGACAAAAATGCTCGCCAGGCCCTATCTATTACAAGCCAAGAGGTGTACACATACCCCATAAAAGAATAACTTAATAAAAAGCAAGAGTAAATGAAATAAATGAAAGGAGTTAAGGAAAAATAAGGAAAGCAAAGTAGACATGCAATTTTCACTTAGCACGTTGGATCACATAGGGTCAAATAAGGTCAAAATAAGGGATAGAGTGTACCTCCCTTGAATCGATGCCCTAACGAAGTGAAATTACTAATTTACCCTCCAAAACAATAAAAGGGTCAAGGCATCACTTTAATCAGGAAATAATCACATGAAAAGATGAATAAACATGAAATGAAATCAATCCAAGGCATTTAAGGGGAAGGTGACCAACCCATGTAAAAAATTAAAACAAGTAATGGCTCGTTCGTGAAAGCTAAAGGAATTGGAAGGGCCAATTTGATCGATCTTTTAATTATTGGGGCCATGGTGAAACAAGAGGAGACTTAAGGGGTTGGAGTGTAATTTTCTGAAAGTATTTCATGCAGCTCATGCAATCCACGAAGCAAACTTTCTGCAACAAAAAAAACTCAACAGCACAAGAAGCTTTCGGCAAGGCTCTGCGGCATTCTCCCAACATACCATCGATGATCTTCACAACTTTGATCGGACTTTCTCACACCCACACCCAAGCTTTAAATTGAACCACATAACACATGACTTTGGCATTTAAACAAGTAAAAAACTTGGAAAGAAATGCATGCATACGAAGCTTTCCTTATTTCTGCTGGTTCCTTTTACTTGCAACAGGTTTGAGCTTTTCAAACATACAATCTAAACGTAGCTAGAATATCGAACCCACAATACTAAACCAGAGACAACTACAACTCAACAGGCCCACAATTAAAAATAAAATTATGCAAGTTCCAGTCAATGCAAGTTCTAGAAAAGCTTTCATGCAAAGCTTATGAAGAAGCTTAGATTTCTGCAATTTTCCCTACGCTTTGAAGCTTTTCTGGTTCGCTAAAACATTTCATTAACCCACCCACCATTTGCAAGCTTATCACCGTGAAAAAGACAAAGCAAACAAGTCAAGATTCATTCAAAACTCCTAGCAAAATCATCCAACGTGTTAACAACGATCCATGACCTCAACTTGAAGATAACAGTCTCTTGGATAAACCAGTGAACATGAAGAAAGGAAATGAAAGCAACAAAGATGACCAACAAGCGTGACTAGAGGGACCTGAATCTAATGACTTCACATCTGGTCTTCCCATTTGCAACAAAACGCAGATTGAACTTAGCAAATCATAGCTATAAACGTTTAACAACAGAAAAATACAGCAGGGTCAAAGCTTTGCCTTTTTATTACTGGTTTCTGCAACTTTTGTTGCTATGGCTTTCATGTCAGACGCAAGTGACAAAGTCCCCACAAGCAACAACCCTTTGAACCCAAAACAATACTTGCATCAAAACCCAACCGTTTACCATGCATCTCCCAAAGATTTTCTTGTCCAGATCATGCACAAAAAAAACGAAGGACACGGCCTTCTGCAAACTCCAGCCACCATTTTTCTTCTGCAATTTTCCTTATGAAGCCGAAGCATGCTTGTGTAACAACTCAAATAAATCTATAAATTTATTCCCCAAACCCCCCAATGCCATGACCTCTAACTTATGTTGTTAACACTGCCCATAATACAATTATCTACCCCCAGAAATTCTAGCAGGAAAACTGGACATAAAATGTGGCAAAGTGCTATGAACAGCTGATGGAAACTCAAACCCCATATCCTCAAGAGGAAGGAAAAAAAAACACACAACCTATCGTTCATATCCCTGCGACTTTGGAGGAAGAAAAATGCAAAGCTAATGGCTTTTAGGTTCACAAGCTTTCAATCACACCCTTTTTACTCACAAATGAAGCAGCAAATTCTCGGTGAACATAAACCAGAAGGGACGGAATAGTGGGAAACAAAAAGAATAGTAAGCTTAACTTTCCGTGAGTCAAGTTATGCAATACATACTTTGAGAGGTTCAAGAGGCTATTCTTGAAATGATACTGGAACTTAAAAGGAAAAATGACTTACAATACTCGTGTTTTCTCTTGATGAAGACCTGCGACTGCTGATGGCGTGAAAGTTAGCAGTTTCAATGGCTCTCTTCAAACGGCTGGCTTTCTTTTCCTCCCTCAGCTCTCGGCTTTGCTCTGCTTCCTTGCCCTCTAGCTCCTTCACTTCCTTCACAAAGCTCTCGGTCGATCCCTCTCCCAGCTTCTCTCCTGGCTGCTTTTCTTTCCTGGTTTCTTTTCGCTCAACCTCACGACCCCAGTCCTCTCTCCAATATCTCAGCCGTCATCCTTCCATCTCTCTCTGGTTTCTGTTTTCAATCCCCCACAAAGCTGCGTTCTTTTTCTAAAACCCAGTCGCTCCCCCCTTGTTTCTTCTTCCCTCTCTCCACCTCGCTTCTTTCACAGCTTTTTCACTCAGCCGTCAACTCAAAAAGCCTCCCCTATTGCTGTTTTCTTTTTCCTTTTTATATGGGGAATCATACCCCTAAACCCTCACCTCAAAGGTGAGGATGAAGGGTTGATTCCCATATAAAAATCCAGCCATCCGATCCTCCCATGACAAAGGACTATTTTGTGCCGCTGCAATGTGCGGCTATTCCCTTTTTTTTTTTTTTTAATAATAATTTAACACAATATAAATAACTAATTAAGAAAAATAGCTAATGAAGAAAGATTGAATAAAATGAGCGGAACCAGGCATAAAAATGAAATGCTAATTTTTCTTTCTTTTTCCTTTTTTCTTTTTTTTTCTTAAATAGCCCAAAACCCGCAATCAGGTTTCCCCTTTTTTCATTTTTCATATTTTTCCCAAGAAAACATTGAATTTAAATCAAAACAACTAAATCATATTTTTTGAATGCTTTTTCCTTTTTCCGAGAAATTCTATGCTAAAACTTACAAACTAAAAATAACTAAAAAGTAAATAAAAACTAACACGACAAATAAAAATAATAAAAAAAATACTAAATGAAATTATTCTAAAAATTTGGTGTCTACAGTTTGCCCCTCTTTGTCTGAATTTTGAAAAAACTTGAGACAAAGAAGTAGACACCAAATACTTGCCTGCAAACTTGTCGACGACTGTTCATTTGTTGAAATGAGGACTGGCCCTCTTTGATAAGACTGACTTGGACGAGAAATTTAAAATCGGGATTGACCCGAGACAGGAAATTAAAAATCGGGATTGACCCGAACAAGAGATTTAAAACCGGGACTGACCCGAACAAAATTTAAAATCGTGGGACTGGCCTGAACAAAATGAAAATCATGGGACTGACCCGAACAAAATTAAAATCATGGGACTGACCCGAATAAAATTTAAAATCATGGAACTGACCCGAATAAAGTTTAAAATCATGGGACTGGCCCGAACAAGAGATTTAAAATCATAGGACTGACCCGAATAAAATTTAAAATCATAGGACTGACCCGAATAAAATTTAGAATCATGATGCACACTAGTGGGACTAACCCATGTTTAATGGCAATGAAAATGAAATGCTCACCAGTGGGACTGACCCAACGGCTAGTGGCAGAATAAAAGAAATGCGCACTAGTGGGACTGACCCATCGGCTAGTGGCAGAATAAAAGAAATGCGCACTAATGGGACTGACCCAACGGCTAGTGGCAATGCAAAATGAAATGCTAGTATGTATAAAGAGACTGTGTAAGACTTGCTCGAAAAATGATCCGAAAATTTACCCCAGTGTGATGAATTGGTCAGTGGGATTAAACCTGAGCCTGCCTTGGTTGGCGATACAAAATCCAAGCCAAACGTGAACTTTGTGATGTTGGCGGCACAAAATCCAGGCCCAACGTGAACTTTGCGATGTTGGCGGCACCAAGTCCAGGCCCAACGTGATTTTTGTGGAGTTGGCGGCACGAAATCCAGGCCCAACGTGCTCTTTGTGAAATTGGTGGTACGAAAACCAAGCCCAACGTGATTTTTGTGAAGTTGGCGGCACGAAATCCAGGCCCAACGTGGTCTTTGTGAAATTGGTGGTACGAAAACGGAGCCCAACGTGATTTTTGTGAAGTTGGCGGCACGAAATCCAGGCCCAACGTGAACCTTGGGATGTTGGCGGCACGAAATCCAGGCCCAACGTGGTCTTTGTGAAATTGGTGGTACGAAAACCAAGCCCAACGTGATTTTTGTGAAGTTGGCGGCACGAAATCCAGGCCCAACGTGAACTTTGTGAAGTTAGCGGCACGAAATCCAGGCCCAATGTGGTCTTTGTGAAATTGGTGGTACGAAAACCAAGCCTAACGTGATTTTTGTGAAGTTGGCAAAACGAAATCCAGGCCCAACGTGAACTTTGTGAAGTTGGCGGCATGAAATCCAGGCCCAACGTGAATTTTGGGATGTTGGCGGCACGAAATCCAGGCCCAACGTGGTCTTTGTGAAATTGGTGGTACGAAAACCAAGCCCAATGTGATTTTTGTGAAGTTGGCGGCACGAAATTCAGGGCCAACGTGAACTTTGGGATGTTGGCGGCACGAAATCCAGGCCCAACGTGGTCTTTGTGAATGGTTAGTGGGATAAGACCCAGTCCTGCCATCCAATTGGTCAAGAAATTGGATTTGATTTGTCAAGATACAAGAAATTAAATTTGATTTTCCAAGAAACAAAATTTTGAACTTGATTTGATTTTTCATCTTTTTGAACTTTTTTTTTTATTTTTTCGAATTTTTGATATACGGGAGAATCCTTTCAAAAAATGATTTGCCCAAATTTCAATTATTGTGTCACCGATCCTTCGATCTGCTTTATGGTATTATTGCTTTTTCCTCAAAACTTTGACTCAGCCCTTTTCCTCAGTTCAAATCATGAATATTCAGTTCTTGGACGGCATCTCACAGTTCAAAATTTGCCCCAGTTGCGGTATTTGAAACGAGCATGGACCTGCAAAAAAAATAAACAAATAATGCCACCACCATCCGATCAATTCCTTCTTCAAGAAATGTGTAAACATGAGTACTTTGATGTTTTCCCCTTGATACTTCGAAAACTCAGCTTTGTTTTGTGATCTGATCAAATTCCATTGACTTCCAATGCTAATAAGGCCCTTGGTGTCCAAGGATTTTCGATAAATCAGGGGGCTTGCCATCTAATGAACTCAAAGAGATAAACAAGACCATGAAACTCATGAAGGAATATCTTATTTACACAACAAATGATGAAAATTTCTATAACATGAAAACAATCATTTATTTTTATTGAAAGAAAATTAATTTTAAAGAAATGAATCTATAAATTCGACAATTTACGCTTAAAAAACCAAAGTATTCCGACTTCAAACAAAATGCCACGCTTGACCCTTTAGACATCATCCGCCCTGAGTTCAATGTCGGCAACAGAAAAACCACAATGCAAGGAGGAATCCCAAATGAATCGAATCACCAGCTTTCTAATTCCAACCTCACTTTTTCTCATGAAACTCTACCTTAGCGCCCTTTCAGGTTTTCACTAAGGCTATTCCCACCTTTTTTGTTTTTCTTTTCTTTTCCTTTCTTTCTTTTTGCTTTTTTTTTCTTTCTTTTCTTTCTTTTCTTTTTTTCTTCTCTTTTCCTTTTCTTTTCAAATGTGCCCTTTCGGATTTTCACCTGATGAACAAATCTTGCCAATAGCCTTTATCAACTCAAAAAATGTGTTTTAAGAAATAATGGCATCAGTGCGACAACCCCTTCCCTTACAAAATGAGTGAAGGCGTATTGACATCATTTGCCATGTGACTTAGAAAATTTCCTTAAAAGAGGTGATGCCAAGAATGGAAGCCAGGACTTTTGGCTTTTGTAATGGGGTCTGGTGAGGTGCTAGGAAAGGTTAAGGCTTGAAGGCAGACTTCAAAAAGTGGTTTAAATGATCTGAGATCTCATTTTCATGTTAACCCTATTTTAGGGTTAAATCAGAATTTGTCCCAGTTTATTTTTAACTGAGGCATTCTTTTGTTCATTTCCTTTTTTTTTTTCTTCTTTCAAAATTTTGAAAATTTGCCCCAGTTTATTTTTAACTGAGGCATTCTTTTGTTCATTTCCTTTTCTTTCGACTTTCCTTCAAAAAATTGAATTTACCCCAATGTGGGGTTTTCTCTCTTTTCTTTTTCTTTCAAAACTAAATTTGCCCCAGTGTGGGGTTTGCGATTCTCAGAGGTTGCCAAATAATCTATTCTGAAGGCTCAAAAGGGATAACTAGGGATATAATGTCTTAATGGGAAAAGAAGAGGGCCTGACTTTCATTCCATTCTTCGCATTAACTCTAAAAGAAAACTTTCATTTATCAGATGAAAATTTCTTACACATCTCCGAATTGATTGGCTGAGGGAACAAGTGCTCCACCAGGCGATACCCTTTTGATAATAAGAGCACCTTACCAATTCGCGGCAAACTCTCCTTTTGGCTTCATTTTGTACTGACGAAAACCACCTTAATACTTTGCCTTCTCGTCTGAATGGTCATGATTTGACCCTTTAATGGTAATCACGGACCAATCCTTTTGATCATATTGACCATGATGGACTGTGTTTAACTGCTTCTTATTCCTAATCTTGATCCCGATTCAGCTTGAACTTCTTTTGTTCCATTCGGGCTTCTTTGAAACATTTTCGAATGTCTCTTCCCTACTTCTCTCATTTTGAAATTCAAAATCACATTCGTGAGATCGCTGCCATCAAATTTCTGAACAGTGATATCCAAAGGGTCAGACGGTTTTATTGTGAGCCA